TCTAAAGACGCTACCTCTCTAAAAAGGCCTTGGAGTCCAATTCTGCTTTTGAAAATATTGGTGTTTCTTATTCAACAGCAGAGGTTGAGGACTGCAACTTATTTAAAGGGTGCCTTGTTTGGAGGTTTTGAGAAGAAGTCATTTGCCTTTCAGACGGAAGAGAAAAAATACAGTTTTTGTTCTTAACTGCCCTTGTATAGAGACCCAACATGGTGTAGAGGTTTGAGTGTTGGACTGCAACTCTGGAGACCAGCGTTCAATTCGCCATTTGGCTAGGAAGCCCACTGGGGGATCTTGGCAAGTCACATGCTCTCAGCCTCAGAAGAAGGTGATGGCAAACCTCCTCTGAACAAATCTTGCCAGGAAAACCCCATGATAGGTTTTCTTTAAGGTTGTCATAAGTCAGAAATGACTTGAAGGCACATGAAAACAATATACATGACTGTGTGTGTTCCTGGAAGAGTTTGTTTCACTCTTCAGCTTCTTGTTCTTCTTCATAAATACAGGAAGAGAGGGAAATACAATTCTGTTTGTATATACAAGGAAAACTCCTGACAGCCACATGGGTTACCAAAAGTGCAAATATGCATGCTTTTCAGAACACCCTGGTTAGGAATGTCTTTCAAAGATGCTTGCCCTTAACTTTTAGGAAATCAGCTAAGAATGGGAAGTTTCTAAAATGCAGCTATTGAGAAGGCTTTCTCTCATGACATAACCAGATAAGCCTACGGGGGTCATGGGATGGAGAGAAAGCTCACCCCTCAAAGACCCACATCTGGGAAATTTGGGATATTTTCATTTGGGAAAATGTGTAATCACAAACACTCCCACTGTCCCAGTTTGGTAGGGAAATGCCCAATTAATCATCTGTTAACCCACCTTTTCACCTGCTTTCAAAATATCCCAGTTTCTTTTGCTTCCTCCAACTTTTCCTCTTCTTCCTCAGCTTACTTCCATTGCTGCAAACTGACTTCAAAGTGCAAAGGTAGTTTGCTGTGAATCAACACATAATGGGGAAGAGGAGAGGAAGGAGCAGAGCCTTGCCCTTCCCAGTAGGCTCAGGTGAAAGAATACTGTTGCAGCTTCTCCTAGCTGGTGTGTTCTTCCCCATTAATAACTTTTGCCATCTTAACCACATTCTAATATTGGTCACATGTGTCCCAATTTTCATCTGTGATATGTTGATGGGTGCAGTGATTTTAAGAAGATAAGCAATAGCAGTAGCAGTAGCATTTACATTTCTATACTTCTTATCAGTGAACTCAGCACTCTCTAAGCAGTTTACAATCTGTAAGCCAATTGCCCTCAACAAGTTGGGTACTCATTTTACCAACCTACCAAAGGATGGAAGGCTGAGCCAACCTTGGAGCCCTGGGATCGAACTCACAACCTTGTGTCTGCAAGACCAGTATTTAACCACTGCATCACCAAGGCTCCTTTTGGTAAGAACTATTTGGCAGACACTATATGTCGGCTTTCAGTGCTGATCTTCTTTGCTCCTTAGTGTCAAAATTTGTGTGTACAGTTGGCCCTCCTTATTCACAGATTATTTATCCTCAGATTCATCCATCAACGATTTGGATGGACGGATAAATAGATAGATTCCAAAAAGCAAAGCTTGCTTTTGTCATTTGTATAAGGGATACCATTTTACTATGCCACTGTATTTAATGGGACTTGAGAATCCACAGAATTTAGTATCCAGGGGGGCATCCTGGAATCAAAGCCCAGTGGATATCAAGGGCCCACTGTATGTCTGTGGGGTGAAGTGACAGAACCATTGTTGAACCCATTGAACTCCTGAACTGGCATCATCTTGTGTTGTCCCTAAAAATCCTTCAATTCTCATTCTCTCCAGGTACGCAATAGCAAACTTCTGAAATGCAATCGTCTCATTCTTCCTCTCCTCCTAGAAGCCTGTAACAGCTTCCCAGGGGAGAGCAAAGCTCTGGAAAACAGCTTTTGCCAAGCTTGTTTGAAGCTCTGGATGCTTTGGCCTCAAGGCATCTAGGTAGGCAGCTTTCTTGCTTCTATGTGCTTCCTCACTCTTGCCTTGAAAGTCTGATTTTACTGATTTCCCTAGAGATGGGCCCCATGTTTTCCCCCTTGGGGATTGGATTTTTGACTGAGC